ACAAAAAGAACAGCCAGAGAGACAAACACCGCATACCCCCATAACACCAGCGCCGACAAGAACACCCACGTCCCTCCTCCCTTACATAGCGTAACACAGGAGGTCGAGGCGGTCGTACCCTGTGGTCAGGTACCCGGCCCCGAGGTCGTCTGTGAACGTGACGCCGCAGATGGTCGTGTCCCGCTCGCTGAAGCTGTACTTGTGCTCGATCTGGGGACGAAAAGGGTTGCTGTGGGTACGTGAAGTGGATGTGGATGTACAAGTGGTGGGTACCGGAAGTGGATGTGGAGTGGGACCGGAGGAATGGGTAGGTGTGGATGTACAAGTGGAAGTCTATGCGGAGGAACGGGTAGATGTGGGTACGTGAAGTGGATGTGGATGTACAAGTGGAAGTCTATGCGCATCTAAAGTATTATAAGATTAAGAAGAAGGTGGAATATATGCGTATAGATATAATATAAGGTTGAGAAGAATGTATAGATATATGGATAAGAAAAAGATATGTAGAGATATAGTACAAGTATAGATATAACATATCTATATCTATCTATCTATCTATCTATCTATCTATATATATATATATATATATATATATATATATATATATATATATATGGTATAGATATAATATAAGAAGATACATATAGATATAATATACGATTTAGAAGAAGGTGAAAAATAAAACTTGATATATTTCCTCGCATATACGTATACATACAGTGAAGTCTAGAGGAATATACGTAATTTAAGATTAGGGAAAAAAGATAAACAAGGATAGATAAATAGACATGTAAACAAATGAAATAATGATAAGAATAAGAAGAAACAACCCATTTTCACCACAAAGAGCCCATGGAAACATGCAAGTACACACACACACACACACACACACACACACACACACACACACACACACACACACACACACACACACACACACATATATATATATATATATATAATATATAAATATATAATATATATATATAAAAGAAGAAGAAAAAAATGAAATAAAATATATGACATAAAAAGAATAGAAAAGTACAAGAGCTCACAAAAAGATAATACTGATAAATATATAATGAAAATAACAGGACCCATTTTCCACCACGATGAAAAGATCCCCCCCCCCAAAAAAAAAAAAATAAAAAATAAATAAATAATAATAATAATAAAGAAATAAAATAAACTACATAAAGAATATTAAAAAAAAAACATATAAGACCTTACCAAAAAATAGCAGTAATAAGTAAATAGATAGGAATAACAGGACTCATTTTCCACCACGATGAAAAGATAAAAAAATGAATAATAATAATAAAGAATAAAATAAACTACATAAAAGAAAACATTTAAGACCTTACAAAAAAAGATAACACAACTAACTAACTAAATAAAAATAACAGAAAATAAATAAATACAACAAACCACATAAAAAACAAAACAACAAAAAACTACACAAAAAAAGAATTAAAAACAAACATAAAAACCTCACCCCCAAAAAATCTAACACCCCAAATAAAACAAACAAAAAACAAATAAAAACCTCACCCCAAAAAAAATCTAACACCCCTAACTAAACAAAAAAAAAAAAAAAAAAAAAAAAAAAAAGGACCCGTTTTTCCACCCCGAAAAAAAAACAAAGAAAAAATTGACTAACTGGCACGTCGATCTTCCCAAGTTGCCAGACTCGAACGAAAGTGTCCTCTGAAGCCGAGATCAGTAGCCCCGACTCCACGGCGACGTCCAGGCCAGAGATGGACCGCACGTGCGCACAGACCTGGGAGGGAGAGGGAGAGAGTGAGAAAAAGAGAGGGAGAGAGGGAGAGAGAGGTGAGAAAAAGAGAGGGAGGGAGGGAGAGAAAGAGAAATGATGATAATTATGTCAATGCACAGATAATAATGATAATACTAATATCGCACAGACCTGGGAGATAGAGATAATGATGATAATTATGGTAACAGATAATAATTATGGTAATACTCAGATAATAAGGATAATAATTATGGTAATACTCAGATAATAAGGATAATAATTATGGTAATACTCAGATAATATTAATAATTATGGTAATACTCAAATAATAATGATAATAAATATGGTAATACTCAGATAATAATTATAATTATGGTAATACTAATATCGCACAGACCTGGGAGAGAGGGGAAAGAAAGAGAGGACAGAAAAAGAGGGGGGGGATAGAGATAATGATGATAATTATGGTAATGCTCAGATAATAATGATAATGATTATGGTATTACGGACCTGGGATAGGGAGGGAGACAGATAATGATGATTATGGTAATACTCCTAGTACTAATGACAACAACAATGATGAGGATAGTAATTATAATAACAATAACAATAAGATATAATGATGATAATTATGATAACACTCCTACTACTAATAATAACAACAATAATAAGGATAATGATGATGATAAAAACAATAACAATAAGAGACAATGATAATAATTATGATAATAGTCCTACTACTAATAACAACAACAATAATGAGAATTATAATAATAATAATAACAATAATAATGGTATTGATAATCATAATGATCCTAGTAATGATAATTATAAGGACACGAGATTGAAAGTTCCTGTTTTGGGCAAAAATGATATAATGTAATATTATAATTTGACAAGAAAACAGCTTTTCAAGGTCATGAAATCGTATTTTTGGGGAGAATGATGAAATTTATTGGAATCTATTCATCATTCATTTAGCCATCTATTTACTTATTTCACAATTATTCTTACAAGTATCCTTCACTGACCTCAGCCTGTATCCTGCCATCATGGAGGTTGAATATCCTGATGTGTCCAGACAGGTATCCCGCCACGATCTGACCTGCCCAGGCTTTGAGACAGGTCACAGCTGTTCTGAAGATAACGAATATAATGTAAATGTTTGATGATGATAACAATGATAATAAAAAAAAGGTATGAAGACAAGAATGATAAAATTATATCGTCATTTATGAATGGTTTTAAATAAAGAACTGTTTTATGCTTTTTATATAAAGAACTGTTTTTTATGGAATTTGGCCTGAAAATGTTTTGGTACTGTAGCCCATTGGTATAAACAAAAATACACGAAGGAAATTATAATATTACGTTATATCGTTAACTACAAATAAACTACAACAGAAACCCGTAGTCACAGCAACAGAATAACAACATCTACAGTTACGCGAGAGTCTTAAACAACTAATTATCACGAGAATGACAGTAATATAACTCCAGCCCAGTATCTAGCGCCATCTTGAGCCGGACCTTGAAGTTAATTTAGGGTAAACTTAGAAATATCTAGCAATAATAATGAAAACATTAATGATAATACTGTAAATGATAATAATAGTGATGACGATGGTCATAAGAATGATGATAACGATATAAGTAATAATAATGGAATAAATTATTTTTTTTTTTTCTATTTCTTTTCTGTCACTGTCTCTGTCCCCCCTCTCCTCTCCCTCTCTCTCTCTCTCTCTCTCTCTCTCTCTCTCTCTCTCTCTCTCTCTCTCTCTCTCTCTCTCTCTCTCTCTCTCTCTCTTCTCTCTCTCTCTCTCTCTCTCTCTCTCTCTCTCTCAACTCCTCCACTCTCTCTTCTTCAACTCCTCTCACTCACAACACACAACACACCACACCACACACACACACCACAACACACACAACAACACCACACAAACTCTCACCACACACGAGCAACAACAACACAACTCGCCACATTACACACCGACCACACACTACCATACATACATGTCTATTGTTGATCCATTATCAATAACAGCAATATCAACCATTTATCATTATACTTATCCATGTCCTACAACACTGTCACCACACTACACTAGTTTCATCACTCACACCAAATAATCCACAAAGCAACTCGAAAACAAAAAAAAAACAATATATAACAAAAAAAACTCTTACAGTATTTGTCATTATAAAAAACACATCTCCTATCCTAAGATTTAAACCCGATCAGATTCCCACAAACTACTCATCTGACACTCGCTATCAATACAGTACTCCTATCCCGTCATAATTGTCAATTCAATCACTTATCCCTTCCTGTGGGAGTCCTTGCGTTGAGGTCGGCCTCTGGCTCGGGGAGGTCTCACGATTGTTCCCCTTGGTCGTCGGCTGTCTTGAACCCAAGGGGGGGGGGGAAAATGGAAGGCCTGTGGCGGCGCAGGGCGTTCACGGGTGGTGTGCTCTCTGTACCACCTGGGCGGGCGTTGGTACCTGACCTTCTCTCCCTGAGGCCCACTGTGCCTTTCTTCAGTGCACCCCGGGGAGGAGACGTTTAAGAGAACAGTTTTCGTCCCGTTGTTGACACCTGGGAGAAATGAGAGAAAGCGGCCGAGGTTATAATGATGATAATGATAATTATCATAATGGATGAATTAATATTGATAAATATATTATAGATTTATAGTTATGATGGCTAATAATTTTGATTAATGGATAATGGTAGTAAGAATGATGATGATTGTAATAATGTATTGATAATAATTAGAATTAATAATGATAATGAGGGTATAATTAGATGATAATGATAATGCATTATAAATGATGATGGAAATAATAAGATTAATAATTATAATCATAATGATGATGGTATAAATATGATAGATAATTATAAACATGTAATGATGATGGTAATAATATTGATAATAATTACTATTTGATAATGATGAAGATAATATTGATAATAATTACTATTTGATAATGATGAAGAACATAAGATATAAATTATAATAAATTAAAAAATATTGATAATAATTATTATTTAATAATGCTGGAAATGATATTGATAATAATTGTAAGAATGATGATGATGATGATGATAATTGTAAGAATGGTAATATAAGTACGGGCAATGATGACAGTATAATATTGGATTAACAGTGATCAATGATCAAATGATATACAACTGACAATAACAATTAATAACAGCAATAATGTTCAATGATATAATAATGATAAAAAATAATAACTTTAATAATAGATTATCGATAATGACACAACAATGATAATAAGGATAATGATGAATAATGATAAATCTGTGTATGATTAACGATTAATCAATGACAATAACAAGTAGATGATAACAATCAATAACAACTAATGATGCTATTGCTAATAATAAGCTAATAACAATAAAAACAATAATAATAATGATAATAATAATAATAATAACAGTAATGATAAGGATACAAACTAATATAATAGATAATGATATGAATGTTAATTTATAACAAGATAAGATATATGAATAGATGATGTGAGGTATTGTATTAATTAATAGATGTTGTGCAGATGTGTAGTATAACAAACAATTAATAATGATAATGATATGATGATGATGATGATAAATAACAAATAATAATAATGAATAACAATGCATTAGAGGTAATGTAGTGAGTAATGTGTGTTGAGTAGATGTGATAACGATGTATAGAATTTAATAAGTGTTAATTAAAGATCATACAGACTATGCAAATATGTGTCTCGTGTGCTGCTTTATCTCCAGTTCACATTTATTACCATATCAATATGTATCACTTGGTTACTGTATGATTAAATACAAACATCAGCATCGAAGCGATCGGTTTGAAATCGAAACATACCAAACACAACTACGCACACAGCTGAGACATAACATGACTAACCATCGATAAAGCATCCCACAGTCATGTTATCTATGCACATACACCAACAAACACACCAAAGCACGCATACACAACGCACACCACAAAACAAGCACACAAACAAACAAACACCCACACACACTAAACATACATACACAACACGACACACACACCACACACGAAACACACACACATCTACACACACGAACACCACACACAAACACACACACGAACACACACACAAAACACACAGTTACACACAACACACATACATCGATGAACACCACGAAACACAACACCAAACAAACAAACACACGCACACACACATATCACAGAACAAACAGAGACAAACCACACTCGCAATCTATGTGTGTGCAACGCGTGTCTATGGCATCCCAAACTCACCCACGACAATATAACCCCGCTATACAGAGCCAGCGATCCCTCGTGTGAATGAGGATGAGGCAATCTGCCGGGCGCGTGGGCAGGGCAGATGGGCGTGAAGGAGACACAGATCCGTCCCCACTCGTACAGGGAAAAACCCCCCAGGCGGACGCCCGCAGACGTTCTCAGGCGTGACCAGCACGGTTGCGCGCTCGTGTGGTTAGTGCTGGTTCACCCAGGCGTGCCTGGTAAGGAGGGTGCTGGGGCAAAAATTTAGCACTGATCGTATGGCTACATCCCTAACTACTGTTAGAATGCAGCTATGTTATTTATCCTATCTTTCTAATTTATTGCATCTATCCTATCCCGAATCTGTTATCAATCTATGATTTAAACAATACATACGTAACACTACACACACTACCACACACACAACACACACCACACTACACACACACATCAATATAAATATTAATTATATATCGAATATTTATATATCTAATTACTTATATTATTATAATCTAGTCTATATATAAATATTATCTATATATATCTTAGATCCTAGTATATACGAGTACTAATAATCAATATCTATAATCATATAGAATATACTATAGTTAATAGACAAAATTATAACATATATTTGATGTCATCTGGATAATTAAAATCATTATGAACATTAATTAACTTCAAAAAATATTCCAAAAGAATAAATTATTATGAAACAGTAGCACATAATGAAATCACAATGATACAGCCAAAACAACAAACAAGATCCAACTAGGAGTAAGCAACGAGAAACAAATCACACAAAAAAAGAGTTAGTACAACAACAGTAACACGCGACGTAGCAATAGAACCACAACAGGGTCGAGAAGCATCCACGTTTACGGTTTAAAGTTTAGACAATGCCACAGATCGAGTCCATTTACTACCTTTATATTGCCAATAAGAAATGTATATCACGAAACCAACAACAACAGCATCAGTAAACACAAACCAATAAGTTCATCGCCGGCGAGGTGTTCGCTCCTTGGCTCCCCAGCAGGTAGTCTGTCCTCAAGTGTCTAATAACCCCTAAAGTACCCTATAATCATAATCAAGCCCCCAGACCCTTGAATCTGTCCTGCTTCCTTCCTATTACACTGGTTTAAAGATCGCCACCAAGTCACGCTTGTAGGTAGCTAAATAGTGACGAAGACGGTAGAACATGAGAGCACAAAGACAAGCGTTACAAGCATAAAACCATAATCAGCTCTTGCGCATAGAGATACGACAACACAATTAACCATTTGACGAATGGATCATGAGTCGATCTATCGCGCAAGAAAGAGATTGAGAAATAAGATGAAAACAAACAGCGACGGTCAAGCAATATCGAACATGGCGCTTAGTATACTGCAAATAACCTGTAATATGAACATATCGTGTGTGCTGAAAGTTTAATACAAACATCCCAACGCAGTGAACTTAAATCAATGAAACCTTTTATAGGCAACCAAAAAATAATACATAACTGTAACAGTATATTTTGAAATTAGATATAGATCATAGCGTCGGTTACAAACTATATATATCTATAATATTATATATATATACTCATATATATATTTATATATACACATATTATATGGCTTTACATATACAATATATATGTACATAATTAGTTATAACGGACAATATACAATAAACATATGATCATAACCCATTAATATGATAACATCCCCAACGAAACCAAACATCCACAATACAATACCACAATAAAAATAACCCGTACCCTATTATACTCCGGCCACCGAGAAGTCATATACCCGTCCCTACAAACACACACCGCCAACATAATTCGCGGTCGACTAAAGAGGGACCCCATATGTCGCACGCAATCATGCCTGGGCTCTCCCTCGGGGTCGGAGCGCACACGATGTTGAGGCGGTCCCTGTGCACGACGCCGGCCCACACCTGCAACACGCGGCAGAATTTTAGGATTTGGGTGTTGCTCGTGTTGCGGGTGTTGTGGTTATGGTGGTGTTATGTTATGTTGTTATGTTTTCGATGTTTATTCTATTTTTAATTGGTTGTTCTATTTTTTTTCTTTTTTTTAGAATTTCTTTGTCTCTTTTTCACGTGCTCGCTCTTTTCATTCTCTCTCTCTCTCTCTCCATATATATATATATATATATATTATATATATATATATATATTATGCACACGTGTGTGTGTCTATGTATGTATGTATGTATGTATATACGCATGCATGTATGTATATGTACCTACATACATACATACATACATACACACATACACACGCATACACACACACACACACACACACACACACACATACAAACATCTATGCATATATTTGGATGTGCAGGTACATAAACACGTACCTGTGCGTATGCATATGTATACTAAATATATGTATATTTTTCTTCTCTTTTACTTTTTTAGTGCATATATGTACATAGGTATTAATACGTATTATATACACACACACACACACCATGCTCGCACGTGCACACACTCGCAAATTCGTGCAAATATAAACATTCTCACACGACAACCGCGCAAACGTGTACTCGACTCTGTACAAAAAAGGAGCCTCACTTACCTTGCCGTTGCGCCTGACACGACAAAGGTTATTGGGAAGGAGAGACGCTGAGGTCGCCAACATCACCGTCTTTTCGCGCTCGTACATCTGGGGGGGGAAGGAGGGAGAGGTTGTTGAGAGAAAAAGGGAATTAATGATGGTGTTGTTACTGATGATGTTTGTTGTTGTTGTTTTTGCTGTTGTTACTGTTGTTGTTGTTGTTGTCGTTGTTACTGAGGTTGTTGTTGTTGTTGTTACTGTTGTTTTTGTTGTTGTTACTGTTGTTATTGTTGTTAATGAAGATGTTATTGTTACTGATGATGTTGTTACTGATGATGTTATTGTTGTTGTTGTTAATGAAGATGTTGTTGTTGTTACTGATGACGTTATTGTTGTTGTTACTGATATTATTGTTGTTGTTGTTGTCGTTACTGATGATGATGTTGTTACTGATTTTTTTGTTGCTGTTACTGATGTTGTTAATGAAGATGTTATTGTTGTTGTAACTGATGATGATGTTGTTCTTATTATTGATGTTGTTGTCGTTGTTAATGAGGATGTTATTGTTGTTGTTCTTGTTACTGATGCTGTTGTTGTTGTTGTTAATGAAGATTGTTGTTGTTACTGATGCTGTTGTTGTTGTTTGTGTTATTGATTATGCTGTTGCACTGTAAGGGATTTCACTGTTGGTATTACTGTTGGTGTTACTGTTGTTGTCTTTATTTTTTGTTGTTTCTCTTGTTATTGTTGATGTTGTTGTTTCGCTTATCATTGTCATTTCATTATTGCTACTGTTTTCATAATATTATTTTGAATTTTGAAGTCATAATTTCAAGATTTTAATTCCAGATCATCAAATATGTAATTTCTTACTATTTCTATATGTAGATGTATGCGCGACAGATAGATAGACAGATAAATAGATAGATAAATCGATAAATAAATATAGTGTGTAGATAAATAGATTGATAAACAGATCGATAGATAGATGCATAAATAGAAAGATAGATAAATACATAGCTACAGATAGGAAGATAGAAATGAACACACACACACACACACACACACACACACACACACATCACACACAACACACACTCACACACACTCACACACACACACACACACACACACACACACACACACACACACACACACACACACACACACACACACACACACTCACACACACACACACACACACACACACACACACACACACACACACACACACACACACACACACACACACACACACACACACACAAAGGAAAGGAGATAACAATATGAGGATGGATGTGATGAATCATGATAGTGATAACGATAACAGGATAAGGAGATAGATTATAATGACAA